ACGTCTTCCAAAGTTGCAGCTGGAATTCGTCAACACCAAAACTGTAGTACCATCAGTTATTGCATGTCATGAACACCAGAAGCTACAATACTTAATAGTCGAGATCAGAAGGCTACCGTGGATTTTCCTTGGAAACCACGGGAATCCCGGAAGATCCAAGAAGTCCCCAAGAGTCAGCTTGGTCAGGCAGGACCTTCTGACGAATTCGCATGCTTTAACTTGTCCTGTGATTCTTGCAGGTTTACTATCCAAGAGAACAGTGACGATGACCAGATATAAATGACGAACTAAGACTGCTGTCATCAAGCATAGTATTTGGATGTGCTGCTGACTTCTGATGGTGCAGTACTGGCCGTACGGTCATATCGGCGTTAGCACAACAGTAGCCATGTCAGGCTTTCGTGCTCTAAACATTCTAACGGCAATTGACGATATCCGCAGCAATAGGACCTCTAGCCGTAGAATAGGTTTGCCTGATGTGATTTGCTAAGAGCTAGGTCAAGCGACAAGAAAGTGATACTTGTAGTACTGCCAGAAGAGCCATGACATGTAAACCGGCACTTACGCCCTGGTACCACCGAGAGGGTAGCCTGAACTCTGGAAAGCTACCCGGCTTCAACCAAACCGAAACCATGACCCCTAACCCGTTTAGGGTTTCAAGTCTCCATAAGTCTCCAAAGCATAATAACGGGGCCTTAATATCTACGTATACTATTGTGGGGGTTCCTTATTATACTTATAGTATCATATACCCCAAAACCCTATTCTAATGATTATGAATGCCCCTACAGTAACTGGAATCCTCATGCCCTGGTGCAGGAGATGTGGCGACCTTTAAGAGGCGTCGTTCCGTGGAGTTGCCGCTAAGCTTTGCAGAGATTTTGGCCCGGAGTCTTCGTGGGTTTAGGGTTAAAGTTTAGGGTTCAGGGGGTTTAGGGTGTAGGGTTCAGGCATGAATTAGTTACGCTTTGAGCTATGCAAGGGCTTGGGGTATACAATTTCCCTTCAGCCTTCATCGTCAACAGCTGCTGTAAAACAAGACCAACTAGTTCATGCCACTGCATTATGACGGTTATGGCCCCAAGCCCTGTAAACGTCAGTGTAGACTGACCAATAAAAAGCCCACTCTGTAAAGGTGCAAGCACAAGGATCCCTAATTTAATGTTTATGCCGGGGAAGGTGTTCATTCATCAGGAACCCATTCATCGGTTTGACTTTCGGGTTTTTAGAAGATGAAGGCGTTTAGGTGGAGGGTTAAGAGTTGAAGGTTTCAGGGTAAGGGGTTTCTCCAATTGCAGGAAACAGTTCCGGAATGCCTGTTTGTTGCCATTGGGGCCATTAGGGGGTTTTAGACCGTGGCCTTAAGGGGTTCCCGGCTTTTGGGGTGCAGAGGTTTGGGCTCCACACGATCGAGTGTCGTGGGCACAGGGCTTAGGCTCAGGGCTTCCCCGCCCGACGGAATCAAACCCTAAAGATCCCTAAAGCTGCTCGGTACTCCAAGGGCTTCGGTGTGGTGGCGTTGTGTATACCTCGCACCCCTACGGTAAACTTACTATCGCAGGCAGCACTATAGGGCGTTTCTTATGAGTGTTCTGTTTACGGTGTGTAATGTACTCCGAAGTCGTTGCTGCACGTGCTTTGCGTTTGGGGTCACACGATTTTACAGATCTGCCAACTCCGACCTGGTTTTTCGAGAAAAATGCGTCGCTCGCGGACTACACCAACGGGATCTGACGGTCGAGGGTTCAAACCCGGGTCCATGACGTTGCGTTCTAAAGTTTTCAGACGCTATATGCTGTACACCAAACCCTAAACCAACCCAGCAAAGAAACCCACTAAACCTTCGTGTAACAACTGTAAGTGTCCGCAGCCCTTGAGAGCCGTCATATCCTCACAGGCTCCAATCAACTTTCGCAGCGTCTTGTAAAACCTGAGGGGCCTTGGTTTATCTTGCTTTCCGGGCTTAGCGGGTAAGTGCAGCGGTCCGCGCGGTGTAAGATTTTGAGGCCTTTTAGAAGTATGAGATGCTCAATCCATAGCAGCACCCTTACTGAGTTAGAGGATGCAAGTCGTGCATCCCATGAGGAAGCATGGCCGCATCTCGATGATGGCCACGATGGGTGTCGCGTCTTTTACTTCGGGTTCATTCGATCTTGGGGATAGGAATCCCATGCCGGCTGACCTAGGAGAGATATGTGCTGGTGCGTGCTTGTGGATCATTCCCGCATGTCACGATTTGCATCGCGAGGTTACATCACACCAGAAGTCACCGGCAAGCTGTGCGGATCTCAGGGGGACTCATGAGGTGTATGTGGCAGGACGGGGGGATTCTTTTTGCACTGTTTGCAGGCTCTTCCGGTTTGGCAGTTTGGCTTCGAGGATGTGTAACTTGTGGGCTCACTGCAGGCAAGCAGGTTTGGTTTACGCTAAACCCTAGGTGTCTTGTCTTGCTGCTGCAAAACTTGTACTGCTGCAAAACTTGTAAGGCCTGGCTTCTTGTCGCCGTCCGCCGGCTTGAAGTTCGCCGACATCCCGAATGGGCTTGCGGCCGTCTCCAAGGTGCCTGTCGCAGGCTGGGCACAGATTGCCGCGTACTTCGGCTTCGTGGAGTTCAGCGGCGGCTTCGATGACTACAAGAGCGGCACCCCGGGCGACTACGGCTTCAAGGTGCTGACCTCCTCGGACCCTGCTGAGAAGACGAAGAAGCTCTCTGCCGAGCTTGCAAACGGAAGACTTGCGATGATGGCCATCATCGGCATGTTCTTCCAGGCATCGTTCAAGCACTGCATGATTGATATTGTGATGTGACACTTGCATGTACCCGTTCTGGCAGCTTTCGCACATAGGACGGTCTCACTGGCAGCGCCTGGGGCGATTGGGCGAGCTACACGGCTTCGCCTCTGCGTGCTTTCGAGAGCGAGCTCGGTGTGCAGGCATGGGTTGATTCGATGATTGTTTTGCAAGTCGAAGTTGGCCCCGTGTGTGTGTGTGTGTGTGTGTGTGTGTGTGTGTGTGTGTGTGTGTGTGTGTGTGTGTCTTGCTGCTGCACATGCCTGAAAACTGACTTGGCATGCAGGCGCCAGTGGGTTTCTGGGATCCTGCTGGATTCACGAAGGATGGCAACACCGAGAACTTCGCCCGCCGACGTCAGACGGAGCTGAAGCACGGGCGCATTGCAATGCTTGCGACCATGGGATATATCACCCCAGAATTCAGCAAGTGGCCAGGATACCTTTCCCCAACTTTGGGCATCAAGTTCGCTGACGTCCCGAACGGCCTTGCAGCTATCTCCAAGGTTCCCATTTCAAGCTGGACCCAGATCCTCCTGTGGGGTGCGTACTGCGAGACATCTCAGGATCAGTCTCCTGGCACCCCAGGTGCTGCAGGCGACTTCGGATGGAAGGTGCTGACTTCCGACGATGCTGAGACCAAGACGAAGAAGCTCGCAGCGGAGCTTGCCAACGGAAGGCTTGCGATGATGGCCATCATCGGCATGTTCTTCCAGGTGGAGTGTCAACATTAAAATCGTGTGAAGTATCACTTTGTGCATGTTTATGCTCTGTGCGTGTGTGTGTGTGTGTGTGTGTGTGTGTGTGTGTGTGTGTGTGTGTGTGTGTGTGTGTGTGTGTGTGTGTGTGTGTGTGTGTGTGTGTGTGTGTGTCAAGGCGTGCTTCCACAAAGACTTCGATGGTAGCTTTGTTGTGTTAGCACACTGTGATACTCTGTTCGTATGACAGGATGGTCTGACCGGAAGCGCCTGGGGTGACTGGGCCAACTACACCGCATCGCCTTTGCGTGCGTTCGAGAACGAGCTCGGTGTGCAGGACCCAGTTGGATTTTGGGATCCAGCAGGCTTCACCGCCGATGGCAGCGTTGAGAACTTCAAGCGCCGCCGCCAGACCGAATTGAAGCACGGCCGCATCTCCATGCTTGCGACGATGGGTTACATCACTCCAGAGCGACTTTGTTGCAGAAGGTGTTTTTGATAGCATGTGCGGAGTTGGGTTCGGCAGCCCTATAATCCATTTCTCTTGCAAAAGATGTTGATTCATAGCATGTGCGGTGTTGGCTTAGGCAGATGTTTAAGCAGACGTTTCGTGTTGTCAGACTTGCGTTTTATGTTGTAATTATGGAGTTGTGTTTCAAGTTTATCGTGTCAGCCCGGTAAGGATCACTGGCAAGTTCCCTGGGTATTTGTCTCCATCAGCTGGATTGAAGTTGGGTGGGAAGGGCGGTGGTGGCAAGGGCCAGGCGAAGGGTGCGGATGGCGGTAGGGGCCGTGGGGGGGGAGGGCGCGGTAGGGACCGAGGCAGAGAGCGCGAGCGCTCCCGTGACCGCCGCGGCCGCTCTCCTGGCAGACGCTGAGGGGGACCCCCCCCCCACCTTTTAACTATGGATCTGTCTACGCGGCATTTTCCACTTAGCGTAGCAAACACCTTCATGCGGATCTCGATGCTTGAAAACCCGGGTCTTGCGCGATTGCTCAGCTGACATGGTTCGTACATGTCTCTCTCTCTCTCTCTCACTCTCTCTCGCTCTCTCTCATGCGGTGACATGTTGTGCCTTGTTCTTGTGTTGTTTTTAGTTTTTTTCTTATATTGGACAAAGATTCCGTCGAACGGAGCGCCTAAACTTGAACTGCAGGATTTGAGCTGTCATCGGGGTTGTACTGTGTCTGGGGGGCAGCAAGCTGCCAAAGGAATGCTACTGCAAGCGACCGTTTCTTGTGATAGTTTTCTTCAGATAACAGACTTCTCTCTCCCTCCTCCCTCTCCTCTTCTTTTCCTCCTCCTTCTCCTTTCCCGCTCCCTCTCTCCCGCTCTTCTCCTCTTCTGCAGGCGTGAGTGCATGCTGTCTTGTCACTTCTTGCGGATGTCTCTTGATGCTGTGGGGTTTCAGTTGGTCACTTTTCGAGTTGCTAGGAGCTCAGCGGGAGGTCTGCACAGGCCGTTCGCTCCCGGTGGGCGAGTCTGCAGATTACTTCACCTACCCACGGCGTGATGGAGCCCGCGGCTGAGTGGCAGGCAGTGGCTTTGCACTCAGCGTCTACAGACCATGACAGTTGGTTGCTGTTGTGGACCATCATGTTCGTACTTATTCAGCTGTGCACCCAGTGCCTCGCATGCTGTGAAGTGATCGTCAGCTTTCAGAAAGCTTGCAACCAAGTTCATATGCCTTTGAAGCGAATTCTTTCACGGCCATTGGTCATGTGTACCGTGGCGTTGATGTTACGGCTCGTCTTTGAGCTACCTGCTCTCTCGTGCTTAGCACTGTGCGCCAAGTCGCTTTTGTCTTGGCTTGTGCCTCGCAAAGCTTTGCGCTCTGTGTGCCGTGCTCGTGTTATCGGCTCACGTCGTGTCCGTATGAGGCGATGCCAAGTCTGCGGTGATTGGGTCCGCATTGACTCTCTTGTCAATGCTGTGTGTCTCGGGCAGTCGGGCAGTGATTCGGCAAGTGGGCTGCGTTCCCGCTGCAGTTTTGCAAGCAGTCACTCTGGCGGCAATTGCTTTGTCAAGACTTTGAATGGATGTACCTTGGTTGTTCCATTACATGCATCGTCTTGCATCCGTGACATCGCTGGCTTTGTCAGCAACAAGACTGCAGTTCCTGTGAAGCTCTTCTACTTGGCCCTTTCGGGCCGCGTGCTGCGCCATTGCAGCTTCTGTGCGGATGCGGGTGTCCATCGAGATTGCCACATCATGATGTGCGCACGGCTACGTGGTGGTGGAAAGCCTCGATCAGGTTCGGCCACGCAGCAACAGTGGCTCTAAGCGCACTGCGCGTGCAACGATGCGAGAGCCTAGGCCTGCACGCAGTGACTCAGCACCAGCCTTCGATCCATGGGCTGCTTACGCTTCTGCTTCCAGGCAAACTGATGATGATGTAGAAATGCCTGAGGACCCCGAGCCCGACGTGCGTCGTGCTACTACTGTTGCTCAGGTTGGGCGCCCTTCGCGGGCGAAGTGGGAAGATTTGCAGGTCGCTGGTGATCAGTTCGAGCCCACACTCACGTGTTTGCCTAACTCAGACGTGCGCGTTGGGGCTCACGGCTTCGCCTTGGTGCGCCGAGAGCAGATCCAGAGCTTGCTGCAGGTTACCAGCTCTAAGAATATCGCTCTTATTGTTCCTGGTCATGGAGACAAAGGCTTTGATGAGCTTGCCCTCAAGGCCAAGCGCATCAAGGGCACTATCGTTGTCACTGATCCTCAGCTGAAGAGAAAGGAGTTGAAGGACGTTTCCATTTTCTCCATTGGGAGCGTTGAGATCGCCCTCAAAACTCCTGGCTCTGATGAGACTTTTGCGCCGCAGCCTACCGTTGAGATTGCTATGCTTGCAGCAAGATCCAACTTTGATGATGAATCGGCTTGGGCTCACTTTGTGGCCAACGCTCGATCCGAATTCAGACGCATCGCGGTATCTTCCCTAGCGAGTGAGCATTGCAGCAGACTCGAGATGTATGCCTTTAAGAAGATTTCCGACACCGTTTTCAGGGTCATAGTTCGCGTGCCGCAGAGCGCTGCATTGGATTTCCTCACCAAATCCGCGGTGTCACATGCGCTTGTTTTTCAGGCTGTGTGGAGGGATGATGTTCACAAGGAATTTCTCGATAAATCCTTTTGTGTGGTTTGGATGGGCACCAAAGCTCTGGCGGATGCAAGAGCGTTGTTGCCCCGCCTTTCTAGCCATCATGGGCTGCAGATGAATCGATCAGGCTTTGGTGTCAGAGTACCTGTCTCTGAAGTGGCCAACGCGCGCAAGGTGCTCAAACCTGCTGATTCCAGATTCGATGATACCAATCGGCATCTTGTTGGCAGGCTGCGGTACTTCGCCTACGGCTTTCCTGATGGGACCAGTCGCTCTGAGGTTTCCCAGTTGCTGCACGACAAGCTCAAGCTTCCAGCTCTGGTTGGTGCTCCTCAACGCAGAGGTGGGCACCTTGTGTTTCCTGTTGCTGTTGACGCCGCCCCGGCGAAAGACACTTTTGAGCTTTCGACAGGTCCCGTGCTGCTTAGGTCTGCGTTACCTGTTGCAAGAAGTCCACCAGTGCGGGGTGCTGGCCCTAAGCCTTCTGCTAAGCCTCAGGCCCCTCGGGTTCCCGTGTCTAGGCCCCCGACCCCAGCTCCTGCTAGCTCCAGCGATGCTTCTCGCATCAACACGTTAGAGCAACGTCTCGCTGAGCTTGAGGCTCGGTCCCAGGATCAAGAGGCTCGCACCAAGAGCCTGGAAGGCAAAGTTGACGCTTGTTTCGCTCAAGTGTTGGCTAAGTTGAACTCGCTTCAGCCTGCTGCTCCCACTGCGTGAAGTGGTGCCTTCTCCGGTGGTGGTGGCCCTGCCAGAGTTAGTGGTGAGGAAAGTGACTTCGCTGAGGCTGTCCGTCAGTCTCTTCGTCAAGGCTCTGGCGCTGCTCTTCGCTGGCACGCTGCTCGTGCTGCCCTGCAGAGGCGTGTACCTTGCCAGTTTAAGCTGTCCCACGTGCCTGGCGATGGTAATTGTCTTTTTGAAGCCGTGGCTCGCGCGGCTAACTACATTCTGCCGTCTCGCTTTAGTTCTGTTGGCTTACGGCGCGACTGCGTGCAGGCTCTTCGGGAGGTTTCTGAATTCCAAGGCCGCTTTTCCACTGCGCAAGAACAGGCTGATTTTTGTGACGCCATGTCCCGCAATGGCACTTACGGCGACGAGCTCTGCGTTCGGGCGCTTTCTCACGTTCTGCAGCTCGTCATTTGTGTGCACTCACCGGAGTACGATCCTTTGTACTTTGGCGTCGTTGGCCCTTGTATCCATGTTGGGTACAATGGGTTTAACCACTACGACGCCGTGATCCCGCGGCTGCCTGCTTGTCCTTCCAGCAATGGCTTTGTGCCTTCGCCGCTGATTGCTTTGCCTGCTCCTTCCCTAACTTGTGCAAGCCAAACTTTGCCGCCTGGTGATGTCGGCGACGCTCGCGGAGCTGTCGACCCCGATGTGCCCGTTTCTCTTGGGAGTGCAGCTGCGGCTCCGAGCGAGACGCCGTGTGTGCAGCATCACTTGAAAATCATTTCCGCCAACATCACGTCGTGGAACACGCGGCATCAGGTTTTTTCCCCGCTTGATCATCATGTGCTTTGTTTTCAAGAAACACGCCTTAATGATGCAGCCAGTGCTCGTGCAGTCAATCAAGTGCGTTCTGCTGGGAAGCGCCTTGTGTGTGGCAAGCCCGTTTCTCAGCAGGGCGGCGTCGCCATCCAGACTCCTTCGCCTTTGCAGTTGGTCGCTATTCCCAAGCCTCTGGCGGAATGGGATTTGGCGGGCCGCGTCGTAGCTGCCTGGGTTCCTTTAGCTAGTGGGCATAGGTGCATCCTTGTCATTTCGGTTTATGGTATTGCTGGGTCGCATCCCCAGAAGAATTATGAGAATTTTGTACTCAATGAGAAGTCGCTCAGTGCCATTTTCGAATGGCTGTCAAGTTTCGGCGATGCTCCCTGCTTTCTGTGTGGCGATTTTAATATCGACCCCAGCCTTAGTCCTGCCTGCCTTGAGGCATGTGCATCCGGCCGCTGGCACGACTTAGGTGCTGAGTCCGGCTCTCTGCCTACCTTTGAGGCCGTTCGTCATGGCAATCATGCATCGTCTCGCATTGACGCCATTTTTTGCAATAAAAGTGCGCGTGCTGCCGTCTCTCATTTTGAGGTCGTTGAGCTTGATATTCCCAATCACAAGGCGCTGCAAGTTACGGTGAAGCTGCCCCCATTTTCCGCCTCTGTTTTGGTTCTTAGGCACCCTAAGCCCCTCCCTCTTAAGCAATTTGACGACGCACAAATCCAGCATGCAGAGGAGGTGTTTGCGCTGATGTCGCAGCAGTGGCAGCAGTGTCTTAAGTTATCTCAAGTTGATGAGGCCTGGGAGCTTCTGTGTCGCAAGTGCTGTCTTGCGTTTCGTGAGCCTGCTTCGCCGCTTGGCCCTGAGACTTTTTCTCACGGTCGCGAGCCTCGTTTACCTAAGCGACTTGCCTTTCCACCGCAGAGTACGCAAGGTTCTTGCTCTGTGAAAGTTTTGCGCCTTTTCAAGCTTCAAAGGCGCGTTCAAGAGGCTTTGCCGCAGCGGGCTAAGCTCGGCTTCGTGCGAGAGCCTCTCCTGACTGAGGTCCAACGCGGCATATGCTCGCTTCGGCTGCTTCATGGTTCTGATCTTCATGAGATTGCGGCTTGCATTCGCAACGAAATCGATTGTGAACAGCAACACATTGAGCGTACTCGTATCAATGCTTGGAAGTCTCGGCTGCAAACCAGCTGGTCTGGTAACAAAACTGAGGTTTTTAAGTGGTTGCGTCTTCGCAAAACTGTCTTATGTGTACCTGAGTTTTTGAGTCAACCCAGCGGCTTATGTGCATCTCCACAGGTTCTACTGCAAAAGGTGATAGAGAAGTGGTCTGGCATCTATAACTGTCACGCTGACAGTGAGCCTTCTTGGGATACTTTTTGGTTTAAGTACTACTCCTTTTTCCGGCGAGTTGCGGTTAAGCTGCCTGCCATTGACCCGGATGAGCTTCGCAGGATTGCATGCGGTGGTGGTCGCACAGCGGCTGGGCTCGACAACTGGTCGCGTGAAATACTTAAGTGCTGGCCCAGCGTCGCCTGGGCTCACCTCACGCAGCTACTCGAGCTCGTCGAGCGTTCAGGGCGGTGGCCGAGCAACTTGCTTCACATTTTGGTGACGCTTATACCGAAGCCGCATGGGCTCGGTCCTGATGACTTGCGTCCGATATCCATTGCTTCGTTGATTTATCGCAGTTGGGCTTCCCTGCGTGCAAAGCATTTGAAACTTTGGCAAGCGCAGTGGGCGCCTGCTGAGATCTTCGGTGGAGTAGCTGACAAGCGTGTCTCTGACCTGTACCTTCGAGTTGCCACTGAACTTGAACATGCTCTGTCGGGAGGCTCTCCAAGTGCAGTCCTTCTTCTTGATCTTTCTAAGTTTTTTGACCGCCTCCCTTGGAGCATCGAATACAATCTTTTGACTGCTTTCGGGTGTCCTGATGAGGTCGTTTTGCCCAAGCGCGACTTTGCCACGCGGTCTAAGCGTTGGTTTAGGATGGGTGCTGCTGTAAGCCAAGCTGTTACGTGTAGGAACGGTACGCCACAGGGATGCCCTCTATCCATCTTATCGGTCAATGCCCTCATGTCTGTGTGGTCGGGCCTTCTCCGCCAGCATGTGCCCGAGCTCCGTGCCGGTGCCTTCATCGACGATCGTTCGTTGCGCACTGCCGATCCTGACTCTCTCCAGAGTGCTCTCACGCTTACTGATCAATTTGACACGGACTCTGGCTCTTCGTCAAACCAAGATAAGACCAAGCTGCTCGTTACTAGCTTTCAACTTGAGCAAGCTGTTGCCGGTTTGACTCATGGGCCTTTTCCTGTGTGTCCCTCTTCGCAGGCTAAGCTTTTGGGTGTTTCCTTGTCTGCTAGGGCTACGGCGCACTGTGAGGATGCTCGTGAGCGCACGGAGGCTGCGATTGACACTGCTCGCCGCGTCCAGTTTGCGCCTTTGCACTTCGATGCCCGTCAGCAGTCTCTTTCGTCTGCTTGCCTTCCTAAGTGGGTTTACGGGATTGAGGTTGGTGGGCACCCACTTGACAGTGAGACTCGTCTTCGCAATGCTGTCGCCGAGGCGCTCAATTTTCGGCGCTCCTTCGCTTGCAGAGATGTTTTTCTTGCACTGTGCTGCAAAGGCGAGTTGGTGGACCCTCACCAAATTCGTCCTGTGCACGTGCTGCTTGCTGCGCAGCAATTCCTCAGACGCTGCGATGAATCGCGTGACACTTGGATTGCTCTTTGGCATGCCCGTGCTGGCGCGACTTGGAAAGGTCGCTTCGGCATGGCGGCTCAAGTCCAGCGTGCTTGTGAAGCTCTGGCCATTCACTGGGCTTCTCCCTATGAGCTTCAGTGGGATGGCGGCTCGCTTAGCCTCTTGCACGGCGATGCTTCGCATTTTCGCTTCAAGCTTCGTGATTTTGCTCGGACCGCCGTCTTGAAACGGGCTGCTAAGCGACCTTGTCTTCATGGTGTCGCTGATCACGTTGATGCTTATGCTTCAACTGCCGTATTGCACTCGCGTGCATGCAGTTCTTACGACAAAGGTGTGATGCGCTCCATTTTGTGCAACGGTGTCCTCACGCAGCATGCCCTTCATGCTCAGGGCACGGCGCCATCGTCGCTGTGCCCTTTTTGCAACAAGCGGCCTGAGACTTTGTTGCATCTTTACTGGTGCTGCCCTCGGTGGGATGACATTCGTGCAAACTTTCAGCTGCCTGATCTCAGCGTTGTGCAGCAGTGGCTCACGTGCACTCAGCTTTGCGGTGTCTTTCAGTTGCCCGACTGCATCGTGCAGATGCGAGCATCGCTTGAAGCTGAAACTTTCTGCCTGCCGAAAGTTGCTTTTCCTGACTGTGGGCTTAGTGTTCTGCCGGTTTGGGTCGATGGTTCCGTTTTTCATAGGGAAGACGCCAGGCTTACCAGAGCTGGAAGTGGCGTGTTTTTTTTGGGAAGGATGTCCTGAAAACTTCAAATTTCCTATTTTGGGGCCCGTGCAGTCTGTCGAGCGTGCTGAGCTCGCTGCGGCCGCAGCCGTTGTCATGAATGCCACAAAGCCGACCTGGCTTAGGACCGATTGTCAGTATGTTGTTGACGGGCTCCAGCAGTGCTTGCAGGGTGTTGAGCCCTCCCTTCCTGAACTTGACGTCTGGAGTCGGGTTTTTGAGAGGATTCAGTCGATGCCCAAAGACTTTCTGCGTGTTTCAAAAGTGCCGGGGCACCCTTCGCGTAAGGATGCGCGCAGCTGCAAAGTCTCTCTTGCAGATTTCGATGGCACGCGCGGTGCGCACAAGCTGGCCGTTGCTGCTGCAGCCTCCAGGTTATCTCAAGAGAACCTTCGCACGTTGCAGGCGCATGATGACTTAGCTTTTCGGGTCCAGAAGGCTTTGGTTGCTATAGTTAACGCCCGCAATAGTGCCTCCCAGAAGCTCAATCTTTACCGGAAACGCAAGGTCGCGAAGCCTCTTCGTGAAGCTGCCACAGGTGATGCGGCGCCTGCTGTCGTCACTCCAGCGCAGAGTCGCAAGAAGCGGGCTGATGCTGCGGCCGCCTTGGCAGGGTCCGTGCCGCAGTCGTCTTTTGACAGTGAAGGCCTTCCATTGACTTCTGCTGGTAAATACCTTAACGTGGTGTATAATTCTTCAGGCACTTTTTCTGCCAGAGTCACCTTAAGAGGTAAGACTTGTAATTTGGGAGTCTTCCCCGAGGCAGTCCTTGCTGCACGCGCTGTTGCCTGCTTTCGCAAAACGGGTAGTGCTCCCAAACTAGACCGCTCTTCTTCGGCTCGCGTAGCCACTCTCCGCGTCTTTGCAAAAAAGGTCGCCCAGCATAACGATACTGCCCTGGAACAAGGTCGGCATTTTTTCCGACTTAGCTCTGGCTTGATTACGTGCAAGGAATGCGGAGCGGAGTATATTCATCCACTACTTTCTCAAGCGCTTCTAAGGTGCCTTGCCCCGAGCTCGCTCGGCGTGCCGGTCGCAAACTTGATAAGCGCGGCAGCGCCTCGCGCGCCGCAAAACTCTCTGCTACGCGGACCAACGTTCTGGTCAATGAGCTGCGCGCTCATAATGGTGTTGCTGCCCAGCGCGGCCTTCATATCATCGATCTGGCGGCCCCTCTTGATAGGCCTAGGTGCATCACTTGTGGTAACTCTGTCAACAGGAGTTACATACGCAAGTGGTTGCGCAAGGCCTGCCCCGGCTAGTTTTCTTCTCAGCGCCTGTGCTGTGCCTGCGCCCTGGTGCGCTTCCTTTGGTTTTGCCCCTTGGTTTCCCCTAGGGTTTAGGTTCCTCTTTTGTTAGGCGCCCCGTCCCGCCTTTTCTCGCTGGCCCCGTGCCGGCTCTCTTTTGTGCAGAAAACCCTGTGCTAGGTTGCTGCACCACACCAAAGAACGCAACTACACCGCATCGCCTCTGCGAGCGTTCGAGAACGAGCTCGGGGACGGACCATCTACTTTGGCTGGCGAGTCCCTACGGTCGTGTGGGACCCGGGGGCTGAGCGCAGGCGACTCAGGTTTGCTGCCTCAGCTGTCTACTGAGATGCCTTGGGCTTGTGAGCGCATCACCACATTCATGCTTCTCTTAGCTTTTGTGACGCATGTCTTCATGACAACAAGCCAGACTGTGAGATTTGGTACACGACTTTCTTACATGTTTCAGTTGATGCTGCAAGCTGCTCTCTGCACTTGGCATTCACTGCACAGCATGCTTGGTCTCTTGCTCGCGCTGCCCACTTTGTTGCTCTGTGTCCCTGCACGTCGTCGACGTCGCGCCTTTCCTTGCCGGCGCATTGGTCGTCGTCGTTTTCGCCTCCCGCGCTCCCCTCGGTGCCACCCTTCGAGATTCCGGTGCACCTCATGGTTGCTGTGCTTTGGCACCCTTCTTATTCTGCACAGCTTTCCTCTCTTGGCTTGCTGTGGTCAGTGCTGCTCCATGCTGTCTTCCTTGCCTTTCGGTGCTGCCATGGTTCCGCAGGCGATCTTGGGGAGCCCTCTCTCTCTATCTTTCGTTTCCGCTGCATCTGCCCGCTTGCTTATTCATGTCGTTTTGCTTGGCAGAAGCATTGCACATCGTATTGGATTGTTGGCCAGTCGTGTTGGCGAAGCAAGCCACCCAGGACCCTCTGGCACCATGGACCCCTGGGCGTCTTATCTCGAAAAGAAGCGCCACGGCCCTACTGCGAACAATTCCAAATCCGTCAATGCCCCTGCAAGATCTTTGTGGATTGATTGTGAAATCGACTTGACTCAGTTTCAGGATCGACTTGTCAAACTCACGCCTGACACCCTCGCTGAGACTTCGACAGGTGTCATTCTGCTTTCACGTCCCATGTTTTCGAACCTTTGTCGTATCCGGAGTTCAAAACCTCTTGTGGCGGTGTTGCCTGGCGGCCGCAATGATGAGCTGTCCTCTCTTGGCTTTGCTGAGTCCAGTTATGCCGTGCATTACATGTTTATCAAAGATCCAGTGCTTGATAAGTGGTCGCGTAAGCTCACGACCATTATTCAACTTGGTGCTGTGTCCGTTTTTCCCACTGCACTTGACAGCTCGCCCGAGTGGATCGTCTCCGACACCGTTGAGCTTTCTGCTACCTTGTCGCAGCGTCTCTTTGCATCGCCTGAGGATTGGAGCTCCTTTGTCTCTACCTGTCGTAAATCAGTGCCTTCTCAGGTTTTTGCTCTCCATAGTGATCTCAATTCGTCCTGCGTTGATTTCTATGGTTGGACTCGTTTCGACAAATCTACTCATCGCGTGTTCTTTCGTGCCCCCACCAAGCACAAAACCCTGATTCTGTGCGCTTCGGGTCTGCGTCTTAACTTCATTGTGCAAGAAGTCTGCCGTGACACATCATCTAAACAAGCGCGTGATGCGGTTTCCACCGTGGTGTGGCTTGGCAAACGCTCCTTTGCTGATGCCACCCTCTTGATTAAGCAGGTTGACTCACACCTTGGATTAGCGCTTTCTCAGCAATCTTTCGGCGTGCGCGTCCCTGTCGAGGCTCTTGCTACTGTCAGGAAACTCGTTTCTCCTGATGATTCTCGCTTTCAATCTTCTAATCTACAGGTTCGGGGCCGATTCCAGTACGAGATCATTGGCTTGCCCCCGGGTTGCTCGCGTTCTGATGTCATCACCAACTTCGCATCCTGGAAACATGGTGATAAAACTGGTTGGGCTGTTATTCCTCTTCAGCATTGGTTTGTCAACGGCCAATCGCACTGGTTGGTGTCTACCGATGTTGAGCCGAAGTGTCACTTTCTTCATTTGAAGAATCTTCGCGTGCTCATTCAGAAGCGCGAGCCTACTTCTGTCCGTGCCGTCCGTTCTGCTTCTAAACCGCCACGTGCTGACTCACGTCAGAATGCTCCCCGTGCTGCCTCTCAGCCCCGACCCGCTCGTCCTGCCAATCCCATCACTGCCCCACTTGCGAGTGACAACACTGCCTCTCGTATTAATGCTCTTGAGGCGCGTGTTGACGCGCTCGAGTTGCGCAGCACCGCTGTCGAGTCCAAACTTGACTCCGGTTTTTCACAAATCCTTGCCAGACTTGACAACGCATTGCCTTCCCAGCGTCGCCCTGCTGATGGTCCCACCGGTGAGACTCCGCCTCCTAAAACTTTCCGTGGCGCTTCACCTAAGCCCCCTGCCAACCCTGGTACAGGTGCAAATTGAGCGCGCATGCTCATTTTTGTTCTTGTTTCCGCATTGGCTCCGGTGGCGGCTCCCCGCCTAAACATCGTGTCTCGCGCAAACGTTCCCTGGTTGAGCCTTGGGGTCCTGTTGATTCCCGCTTGTCTCGCATTGGCCTTTCCAGACAACATGTGCCTGGCGATGGTAATTGCCAATTCCATGCCATTTCCGCGCAATGCAACTTTGATCATGTGCAACTGAGGCGCATGGCCACTGACTTCATTCGCTGCAATCCGCACTTGTTCCAGGATTTCATCCCTCAGCTTCAGTTGCATCGTTACCTTGAGCAGATGGTCTCCCCCGGGACTTGGGGTGACCATCTCACTCTCACGGCCTTATCGCACTGCCTCTGCCGCCCCATTCACATTGCACGTGGTGCTAGCATCACTGTCATCCCTGTCGCCTCTGACGCTTCTTCACCGGCCCCTATCTGGGTCGCGTATAACGGCTTTCACTATGATGCCGCTCTCCCACTGTCTTGTGGCCCTGAGCTTGTTGCTCCTTCGGTCACTTCTCCCGGGGTTTCTTCTGGAATTCCGATTGACCGTCTCCCTGACGAGCACTGTCAGGTTTCGGAGTCCTCTCCTGCGTTTTTCCCTGGTTTGTCTTTGGCATCTTGCAACGTCACCAGCCTTAAACAGAATGCTTGTCTCCTCGCTGGCTTTCCTGCCATTGTTGGTTTGCAAGAAACAAGACACACCTCCATGAGTCCTGGGGCCTTGGCTTCCAAATTACGGCCGCATGGCTTTTCCGTTCTCTTTGGCAAGCCCGTTTCGCAACGTGCTCCCAATCGTGCCAAGCAAGCGCGTACCATTTGGAACGGTCGCAATGGTGGAGTTGCACTTGCTTATCACTCCCACATTCCTTCACAGCTGGTTCCGGTTGGCCCCTCCGCCCTGCGTCAAAAGCTTTGGGACTCTGGGCGTTGGCTCCACGCTGTCGTTGCTTATGGCTCTGCTCGCCGCGCCTTGCATGTCATTGTTCTGTATGGTTTTTCTGGCACCTATTCTAATAATGCCATGCACACGGCTAATGAGCAGCTTCTCTCTGATGTCTTCGAGGAAGCTGCCTGCCGCAACGATTTACCATGCATTATTCTGTCGGATATCAACCGGCAGCCTCAGGACTCCAATGCCTGTCGTCAGGCATGCTTGCGCGGTGGCTGGCTAGACGCTGGCTTGGCGGCCAAAAATCTTGAACCCACTCACTCTCCCCCTCACGGTCAGTCCCGTCGTCTGGATGCCATCTT